TTGCGCCGTTCCTCGCCGGGGTCACCATCGACGCCAAGGAACACAAAGCGGAGGATGGGCAAGACGCCGTCGCGTCGGCCATCCTGACCCATCTCTTTGTGGAGGCCCGGCGGCAGTGGGACGCGGTGTCCTCGACACCGCCGCCATCAGCTTTGCCATCGCCGCCTTTGCCGCCGCCTATCAACCCGGGCCCGCCCTCGGCCCACGTGCCGGACCGGCCGCCGAAGACCTTCTCGGCGTGGAACCAGCAGGTCAAGGCCTATGAGGACCGCCTGCTCGACGGCAAGCGCCGCACCTTTCCGGTACAGGAGCTACTGGGCGCCGAGGAGATACTCGCCAGGATGTGGTTTGAGCACACCGTCTCTAAGATGTACACGCCGGTCACCTTGGGAGAGATTGTGTCGCGCCGTACATGGACGCCGGGAAGGGTGCTCAACCCGCTCGCGGCGAACAGAGCCTCTGCCGCCGCCAGCTCCAAGGCACTGCGCTTCGACCACGGCGCGCTGGTGCAGGAGGAGCCGGCGGAATGGTCCCCCAAGGGCCTCTTTTCGACGATCGACGGGGCCAACGCAGCCAGGTGGGCGTGGATCCTGCTCGGCGTCGGCGAGGAGGACGACGTGATGAAGTACGCCGACTGGTTTGTGGCGAAGGCTCGGGCGCACTCGGAGATGGTCCCGGCGATCCAGGGCACATCATGAACGACGTCGCCACCTGGCAGGAGGTCATTTTGTCACAGGCCCCGCCGCCCCGCCGTCAGCCGCAGATCTCCACAGCAGCGGCGCCCACCGACACGACGGAGGAGACAGAGGACCAGGACCCGACGTGGTGGGGCATGGGCGGAGGCCGCAAGCGCCGTCGCGGCGGCAAGGCACGCGGCAAAGGGCGCGGCGGCAAGGAGAAGCAGCAGCAGACCGGTCGGGGAGGCGACGGGAAGGACGCCGCATACCAGGGATGGTGGAGCCAGAAGGACGGCGGCAAGAAGGCGAGCCAGGACTGGTGGGGCCAGCCCGCCGGCGGCGGCAAGCAGCAGCACTACGACGATCAGGCCCGCCCAGCGAGGGCCCAGGCGTCGGGCAAGGCCCAGTCTGCCAAACCGACGAGACCGGGGACACTAAGGTCCGACGCGCCGAGGATTGGCGCAGGTCGGGGCACAACTCGACGATCAGGGTCGGCGACGTGCCCACACACCACTTCATTGGGTCCTTCGTCGACTTGGCCCGCCGTCTTGCGGCGGACTCACGGCGGCTTAAGGTCTTCGGGCACGACC